GGATGGTAGAGATAGCTAAAAAAGACTGCTTTGCTTGTTTGGACGCTGGATTCACCGCGAGACTTCACAGTATTATCCACAAAGTAAGCACATTTCGTTCTCAAAATGATGTTATAGTGACCAAAGACAATACAAAAAAATAGTTAAGTCTTACTTGTGAAAGGTAATCCCATGGGATCTGGTTTCTGCTGTCGAACGTTTGGAACAACCCCAAGCAGCACATGATTTAGGCATCTTACGTTTTGCCACTTCCAATATGGGGCCTACGGTGACGTCTGATTCAAGGCTCAACGCGGCGTCTATGTATATAATGTCTATGGGTATAATCATCAGTGTTGCCAACTTCTCAGTAAGGAAAGTAGCTATTGGCTGTCTTTTTTTTTTAATTCAACAAGAAGAATACAGTACAGTCATCCAAAGATACAAAGATATAAGAGTGTATTCAAGATACATCCACCGAACCAGAATGGAAACAAATAAAGAAATAAAGACATACATAAAGAATACAAAAAAGCTAGGGGGGTATTATCTAACCAGGAATTTTAAATAAGGTGCATAAATTAATTGTTGTGATGGCCTTTGTATTATCAGAAAAAATATTGAAGAAATGTATTGTTTGAACTCTTTTAAAAAGAACAAGAATAGAGATTTTCTATTTGTGAATTTACATTTGTGAATATGAAACTTAAATTAACAAGTTAGACATATACATGAGATGAGAATCATGTTTCTAAGCAACCAAACAGAACATTCTTCCAGTACAAAATAAAATACTTATCAATATTTATATGTATAAAATCACAAAAGTGAAACCAAAATGTTTTTATAAAACAACAATACCAAAATAAATGAACAGCAGTCTCAGGGGAATTACCACAGAAAATGCAAATATCTACTCTAAACCTCTTACAATAAACTTTCACTGGATAAACTCTGTGAATAAGCTTAAAAGAAACCTCTTTTACCTTATTAGTTACAAAGTAAAGATTAGGTAAAAGCCAGACCTTTTCCCACTTCAGATCATCCACAAACTGATTCCAATACAAAATAGCCCCAGATTTGATTGATACCCAATTCCTGGTAATCTCTTTTTGAAACAGCGATCTGATGGATTTGTTTTTCTTAAGATGGTGAGAGGAAAAACAGATTTTCCCTAGAGAGGAATGAACTGGAGTAAGTGTAGGAACAAATTGGACATCAATCCTTGGCTGATATTTAAACAACATGCATATACCGGAAGAGATAGCACCAAATACTTTTCTCTAGGTGTTATAGGAATATTATATCGTCGTAAGAATTCCTCATAAGTAAACAACAGGCCATCATCATTAAACAGCTGATCGACCAGAAGAATATTATTTTGAAACCAGTATTCAATAAAAATGGACCTGTGTTTGTACAAAATGTCCCCATTGTTCCATATGTAATATGTGTGTGGTGAAAAGTTATGCTTGTAGATGAGCGACCATGATAAAAAGGCCTGATGGTGAAAAGAAGAGAGTTTCACTGGGATCTTATCAATATTATAACTGCATACAAGAAAGAAATTTAAGCCACCAAGCTCAGACAGAATATGATTAGGAATTATATTCCACACAGATGTTGAGTTTTAAGGTCAATTGGATAAGACAATTATCTCAAAAGTATTATTTAGAGTGGAGAAGTCTAAAAAGTTTAATCCACCACTTTCATATGTGTTCATAATAACAGCTTTTTTAATATGATGTA